AGCAGTATTCTGATCAAGCTGACTAATTTTATTTTCTTGGGGGGAGGCTTATATAGGACCTTGGGCAGGGTGTAAGTAGGGTTTGCATGTAGCCAGGGCATGGGCACCAACACATAGGCAGGGTGAGAAGGTCAGTAGAAGGAATGCCCTAAATTGTGTAGCTATTCTATAATTGGCTGTTCAACTGCAGGAGAGATAGCCCTGAGCTGGTTAGCTATTCTTTAGCTGGCTGTTAAACTGCAGCAGGAAAGATAGCCCTGAGCTATTCTTTAGCTGGCTGTGAAACAGCAAGCCTGTATCTCAGAATGCTCTGCTGAACATTCTGCTTATTTAAGGGGCAGTAATTTTCTATATCAGAGACCTGAGGTTGTGAGGATTGTGATAGTCCCTAACACCAATTCTCTGGAGCTACAGATGGTTGGGAGTGCTAGGAATGGAACCTGAGTAGACAATTCTCTTAACCACTTAACCATCTTTCCAGTAACCTCCTCCCATGCACAAAATTTACATCTTTTCCATAAAGTGAAAGGAAATACTCAAATAATTAGACAGACATGATTTAATACTCTTTCTTCTATCTTTGAAGGTTTTTTGTAACATTTTGTATATTTCTATTTTTAAAATAATAACCTCTTGCTGATTTGGGTTTTTGTGGCTTGATCTTATAATCCTTAGTACAGGTTAGTTGCACTGTGACCTGAGAGCTCTTCAGAGGCTTATAATGAGCATCTCTGGGGGCAGTCCTTTCTGGGTAACATGGGGTATGCCTCTTTTATTGGTTGGAGGAACCTTTGGCCAGCACTGTATCTCTCCATGCAGATGATCTGTGGAGAGCAGTACGTTCTGGAAGACAACACTGAGATCCTGGGAGGCGGGAGAACCTCACTGTGTGTTGGCTCTTCCAATGCTGTAACTTGCAGTTTCCTTGTCCCTGAAAATTAGGAAAATGGGAACAGGGTTTGTGCCCTTTCGTAGTTACTCTAAACTCACTTTGCACTCACATTTAGCCCTTTGTCCTTTGATGACCATGATAAATGATACCTCCCCTTGAGTGCCTTTCCAGACAATGAAGCAGACCCAGATAAGTTAAAGTAAGTTTTTATTGAAATGAAGTAAGGAAATAAAGTGTGCCTCCTGTGATTTGAATGACAATGGCTCCCATGAGCTCATAAGTTTGAGTACTTGGTCCCCAGTTTTTGGAATTATTGGGGAAGGAATAGGAAGTAGCTTTGTTGAAGGAGCTGTGTCACTGGGAAAGGGCTTTGAGGTTTCAACAGCCCAGACCATTCCCAGCTAGCTATTGCTGCCTGCTGATTGTTTCTCAAGGTGTGAGCTCTCAACTATGCTGCAGGACCTCTCCTGCCTGCTTGCTACTCTGCCCCCCCCACCATGGTGGTCATGGACTCTAATCCTGTGAAATTGTAAATTCCAATCTAAATGCTTTTTTTAATAAATTGCCTTGGTCATGGTGTTTTGCCACCACAATAGAAAAGTAAAAAAGACACCTTGTGAACAAAGCAAGCTGACAAGGACAAGAACAGACTGGCTGCTCCAAGTCTTGGGGTCATTTTAGCATTTATTGGGGTAGCTCAGGATGGTGAGGCCCATGCCTTCCTAGACCAACTGAGAAGGAAACAATCCGTTGTTTCAATGAAAAGTTGTTCTGTGTGACCCAAACTTCAGGATGAGTGTTTGACACAGGAAACAACTGGCTGTATTTATTATATGAGTTTACCTTTTAGCTTTCATTGGCTTTGGGCTAGAAAGTAATAATCAATTGAAAAAATGCCTGCTATCATAGGTTTAGCCTTCAAGTCTGTAGCTGGTAAAAGTTCTCGACTTTGGCTCATTTTTAACCTAACAGTTATAAGCCACAAGCTGCTTCATTTGCAGGTAGTGACAAGCTTGAGGGTTGGTTGCTTGTTGAGAGGTTAAAGGTAAAACATTGCCACTGCCTCTCCCCTCCCACTTTCTTCCTTGCCTGTCCCAGAGAAAGCTTACAGGGCACTCAGTTGCTTGGTTCTTGGCATTAATATTTTTAGATCATGAAAGAAGTGACCATTTCTTATAATATCCTCTGAGGAAAAGTAAAACAGTCCCACTGTGTACAGAGACCACACAGAGCAAGAGACACCTAAAAAGACTTATCCTCAGCAGTGGGTAGCTATGTGAACATGGCATTGATGTGGCATTGCTCTGACTTATCTTGTCCTTGTGTTGAATGAGAAGCCGTGGACTTTTCAAGGGATTAAGAGCATGGTTTGCTTCATTTGGACTAACAGTTCAGTGGAAGCTTCTCCAGAATGACTTGAGTCAGTTGAAGAAGAGGTCTTTGCTCCTTCTCAAAGATGGCAGATGGATCTGGAGAAATGACTCAGCCTGTAATGTCTCCCCAACAAGCATAAGGGACCTTACCTTCACTCGTATCCCTACTACCCACATAAAAAGCTTGGCTTGGCAGCATCCATCTATAATCTGAGTACTAAATAAACAAAGATGGACGATCCCTGGCTGGATCAGCTTGCTCACTGGCCAGCCTAGCCAAATCCATGAGATTCAGCTTCAGTGAGAGACTCTGCCTCAAAAAATTAAAGTGGAGAGCAACTGAGGAAAATACCCAGAGTCAGCATTCAGCCTACACAGCTCACTTACACACACACACACACACACACACACACACACACACACACACACACACTGACAGGGCATTCCCCATATAGAACAGTTTCAGTGTGTCATAGGCATTTACATAGTGAAGAGCATGAGAAATGTTTCAGGTCAGGACATTGTCTTGTTACGATTATTCTGTTATACATGGTGTGCTGCATTGTATCTTTTGCTGCCTTAGGCTGGAGACCCCTGATTGGCTGAGAGTGAGTATTCCACCCTTCTGCTTCAAGTGTACACACCAAGAATATACACACATCCTTTGGCCCATTTCTGCAGACAAGGCTGAGCCATAGCCTTTACGTGTGCTTATTAACCCTTTAAACCATGTCCCTTTTTAAAAGTGTTTGTTTGTTTTGCTTGGGGTTTTTTGTTGTTGTTTTGTTTTGTTTTTTTTTTTTTTTTTTTTTTCGAGACAGGATTTCTCTGTATTGCTTTGGAGCCTATCCTGGAACTAGCTCTTTGGACCAGGCTGGCCTTGAACTCACAGAGATTCATCTGCCTCTGCCTCTGCCTCCCAAGCGCCGGGACTAATGGGGTGCGCCACTAACAACCGGCTTTAAAGTTATTTTTTAAAAGAGTAGATTTCATTTGGTTTTCACATGTACATGTCTCTAGATTTTATTATTCACACCTCTTCCGCCTGCCCTGCTCCCATTCCCTTTTCCCCGATTGGCTCCCTTCTCCCCAAATGGTCCCCATTCCACTTTCATATAACATACTCCACTGCCCTCTTCTGCTCCCTCAACATTTCTACATCTGTCCATTTTCCTGTAAATTCCATAATTTCTTGTTTTCTTTACAGCAGAATAATCAATGCGTATTTGTAGCACATTTTCTTTAACCATTAATCTGTTACTGAACATTTAGCCTGGCTCTAGTTTTTTTAGCTGTTGTGAACAGGGCAGCAATAAAAATGGGTGTGCAGCCATCTCTATGGCACTTACTAATGACTTTGAGTCTTTCGGGTGTATGCCCAGGATTGAAATAGCTGCCCCCTCTGGTAGTTCTCTTTTTAGTTTTTTGAACTCTGCAGATTGCCTGTACCAGTTTATATCCCTTCAAGAGTGTCAAAGGGTTTGTCCTTTCTCACATCATTTACCATCACTCGTTGTCATCTTTGTTTCAACTTTGATTTTGTCTTTTTGGGTAGGTCATCATAATAAGAAGCCTAGCTGGCCCCAAATTTGTGTTCATCCTCATGCCTACGCCTCCAAATTCTGGTACTGTAGGCAGACTTCTTTCTTAATATGAGTCATGACTGGGATGTGATAGAATCCAGAAGCAGTCTTGCATTTCCCTGATTGCTGAATATATGGAACACTCTTTCAAATGTGTATTCATCATTTGTATTTCTTCTTTTTAGAAGTCTCTGTTCAGTTTATTAACCCACCAATCAGTTCAATTATTTGATGTTTAATTTTTGCTCTTCCATATAGATTCTAGATCTGACTCCCCTGTTTAATATGTAGTCTACAACAGTTTTCTCTTCTGGAAAAGCCATTATTTATCAGTGGAAAAACCCAAACCCAAACATAATTTGAGGACTCAGTTTCATTGACTCCAGCTTCAGCAGCACTTAGGTGCAAACAGAATAGTAGGGATCTGTAAGCCCATAAGCAGTTGAGTGCATGACCGAATCATTGAAATCCTCTACTTTGAACACCTGTGACCTATCCCAAATGGTTGGGATCTGAGACTTTCGAGTATTTTACAAGTAGTTAAACTAAAGAAAAGGATGCCACATAGAAGGCTAGCTAAGTCCATACACTGTTACTTACGGGAGATGATGACTTCAGATAGGAAGTTAGCTAAGCTCACAAGTGTGTGAGCTTCTTTGGGAAGATGTCACATAGAAAGCTACCTGAGCCCATACATTGCCCTTCTGGGAGAAGATGACATCAGATAGAAAGCTTGCTGAGCTCACACACTGTCCTCCTGGGAGAAGATAATGTCACATAAAAGGCTAGGTGAGGTCATACACTATCCTTCTGGGAGATGATGACATTGTTTAGAAGGCCAGCTGAGTGCACACACTGCCCTTTTGGGAGAACATGACATCAGATAGAAAGCTAGCTGAGCTCACATGCTGTCCTACTGGGAGAAAATGACCACATAAACAGCTAGGCTGAGTAAGCTCACACATTGTCTTTAATGGAGAAGATGACATCAGATAGAAAGCTAGCTGAGCTCACACACTGTCCTTCTGGGAGAAGATGACATCACATAGAAAGCTAACTGAGTCACACACTATTCTTACGGGAGAAGATGAGTGCTTTTACTTACTTCACTTCCCAGACTATTTCTGTAACTTGATTTTTTTTTCCCCCCAGTATTGCCTGTCAGGGCACCCAACTTTACCGTGCAATGTGCTCAAATTCAAATCCACCACTATTATGTTGGACTGCGGACTGGACATGACTTCCACCCTCAATTTTCTTCCTTTGCCTCTGGTTCAAAGGTATGTGCTGATGCATGCTGAGATAAAATAGCTTTAGTTTCCTGAAAAATGGGACTCATCAGTGTGAACATTACTTGTACCTTGTGTTTCATACATTTGCTGTGTCCCCTTAAAACTTCTAGCCAAATAATTTCTTTTGGTTGTGTTGGTGGAAAGTGCTCTATTGATTTATTGATTGACTCCTTTATCCCAACTTCTTCTGGGCCTCTGTAAAGTGTTTCTGCAACTGCTCAGTGCAGCTGAGGTCATGTATATTTCATCTGTCATCTTAATTCATGTAAGAGGTAATAAATGACTAACTGATGAACTCCAGAATTGAATTTTAGAATCATTTAACTGCCTTTTCAGGGACTTGACAGAGTAAATGCTGACATTTCCTTTCTGTGCATTGTTTTCATATTAGTCAATTTTAGATCAAATGTAAGTATTGTATGTATGTATGTATGTATCTCCCAAGTCCATGTGTTACGTCATCTAAATTATCTTGACCCTACAGTCAGCATTGTTGACACTAAACTAAGATTTTTAAGAACCTAGTTTCTCCATTTGCTTCTTCTTAAGACAGGACAGTTTATTAAAAAAAGTGACTTTTCGAATTAAATATGTTCACAGTAGCAAAAAAAAAAAAATGATAACCACATAGCAGAGATGAGATGGAAAAGCTTCTGAAACAAATTTAAGAGCTTGAAAGAATAGCGTACTGAGTAAACCACCTAATTCATCTCAGTCCTTCCTGACGACAGCACCAAGTACAGCGATTATTCACAGAGATAACCCCATGAACCATCCAGAAAAATTATAATCAACCATTGATCTTTTTCTGAGATAAAGGATATAACAAAGGGCCATAGGGACAAGGTCACAGATAATTTCAGATTACATTTTATACAAAATTGATGGGATTCACTTATAACTACATGTAGTACTTTCAAATATAGGTATTATCCAAGACTGGGGGAAGATGGTATTTACATAGCTGGTATTTAAAGAGCTGGATACTGTTGTCTTTTTTTCCCCCATAAAGAACAAAATATGGGACCAGGGATACTGATATCACAAAACTTAACTTCTTACCCTCAAAAAGCATGAAGTCTTTCAGTAGAGAAAACAGGGCATAGCTGAAGACTGCCTGTACTTGAGATGAACAAGCATCTACGTTCTATGATAATCACTACTTTTAGCTACTGTGAAGGTTTCTAAAGAGGATAAGCCTGCTCTGTAGGCCCAAGAATTTCCTTGACTACCAAAACCAGAATTTGTCAGACAGTACCAGCTTCATGTTGTCCTTCCTGCTCATTCTCCTTAGGCAACTTCTCTGTCACCAGCACTGGTGAGGAGGGAAATCCACATCTGTCCTCAAGAGTTCAGAGGGAAATGATACTGCTGGGGTGGCTGGCAGTTCATAGAGTCCTTCATGAAGTATCTCCTGGGACTAGGGAGATGGCTTACTGAATAAAGCACTTGCTGTGCAAGCATGAGAACTGGAGTTCACATACCCAACAACCACATCAAAGCCAGGCAGGCGTGGCCACCTGCTTTTAATCTGGGGAAGCAGAGCCGGGACCTCCCTGGGGCAAGCCTGGCCAGCTAGACTAGCCAAATCAGTGAGCACTTGCCAGGAAGTGAAGTAGAAAGGGATCAAAGACGGCATCATCCTGGCCTCCACACACATGAGTGGCACACTACAGAAATGCATGTTTTAAAAAAGTGCCTCTTGTCATTCAAGCCAGAAACTTAGGAACACATTTGCTTAAATAAGTATATCCATCCTTTCCTGCCCATCCCCTTGCCCTGCTTGTCTTTGTAGCTCTTGCTATAACATTACTTCATATATGCATATTTATTATCTTCTCCACTGAAGACGTTTTATAAGGACGGGAATTTTGTTTTCCACCGCATTCCCAGCACTTAGACCAATTCTTGGCCTGTAATAGCAGCTCAGTAAATATTTAGCTTTATGAGTAAATCACTCTCCTCCTTGGAGCTTATCCTGCTTTACCTTCTCAGATTCTTTTCATTATTTAAGTGTCGTTAAATTACTGTATCTTCACTAAATTTAGTGCAAACTTGAAGGGCAGGGATTGGGACTGTCTGTGTCTGTGTAATACTAGGGATCAAACTCAGGGCCTTGTACATGCTAGTCAAGCATTCCTTACTGAGACCAGAGGGACTTCAAACTCATAATCCTCCTGACTCAATCTCCCAATGCTAGGATTGCAGGTGAGCATCACACCTGCCTGATTTCCCATCCTCAGTCCTTATCTGTATACCTGTTCATATTTCTCTGTTTCACCAACTCAGCTTTCATTATAAAGTACTTTATAACAGAAACAAAGGAGAATGTATGATTCGGTATCCTGTGTTGATCGCACACTGTATTTAGTTGTCTGGTTTTGAGTTTCCTTCATTCTGGAAGAGTTTGATTTCTGAATCTATCTGTTTTAATGACCTTGACATTCTTAGGCATACATATATACAGGTCAATTATTTTATAGTCTCTTTGTAAGATTTATTTATTATATATTTAGTATTCTGCCTGCATGTGTACCTACACACCGGAAGAGAATATCAGATCTCATTATGGATGGTTGTGAGCCACCATGTGGGTGCTGGGAATTGAACTCAGGACCTCTGGAAGAGCAGCCAGTGCTCTTAACCTCTGTGCCATCTTGCCAGGCCTTATATAGTCTTTTAATGTGTGTGTATTTGATGTTACCCATATTAGGTTGGAATTAATGTCATCTTATCAGAAGGTATAGGTTCCATTCTCTCCAGAATCATCCTATAGAAGTACATGCACACAGCACGTGTGTGGAGGTCAAGAGACACTTTTCAGGACTTGGTTCTCTCATCTACCGTGGAATCTGTGGGGTTGAACTCGGGTTTCAGGTTTGCTTGGCAAGTACCCTTACTGCAAAGCCTTTTTGTTGGCCCATTACATTTTTTTTTTGTTGTTGTTATTGTTTCATTTGTTTGTTTTCGTTTTGTTTTGATTCAGCCTTTCTTAATGTACACGAAATTAGTCTCACCTAGAAACCATTCACCTGGATAGAGCATCACTTCATAACTCTTAGGGAAAGTAGCTTCATTTTCCATAATCGGAAACTCAAACAACAGGTGCCAAGTGCCCAGCTTCTTGAATTGTAGGTTAGAACCCTACATAATTGACTGTGAAGACTGCAGTAGATTTGATGACAATAAAAGGTTTCTGAATGTACAATAACCAAAAAATAATTCAAAGTCAAAATGGAATCAAGAGTTTCTATCTGCACTCACCTGGGTTGCATAAGTGACCTGCACTGCAGTCAGTGTTCTGAGTACACAGCATCATGTTCTGCCATGCCTGTACGCTCTACCCGAATCATCTCCACTCCAGACTGCTGCATGTCATGAACTACAATGCTTTTTTTACTGTACATACATGATTTTCCATTCTTATAAAAACATAAAGTTTTAATTACAAAAACAAAAACAGTGTTTTCCTGCCATTCCTGTGTTCGAGTATGAGATCAGTGCATTAGTAAAGTTAGTAAATCTGAACGTATCTTTGAGTTGTATTGTGCTAGAATTCTTGATTTTTAAGTTGCTTATTCCTGAACCAGTAGGATGGCTCAGAGGGTAAAGGTACTTGCTACCAAAGCTGATCCCGAGGCCCTACTTGGGGAAAGAGAGGAACCCACTTCTGAAAGTTATTCTTTGAACACACAAATGCCATGATCTATATACAACTCCTGTCACACACACAAAATAAACACAATGTAAAATTTTACATTGCTGGCTTGAATTTCATAAATTATTAAACGAATTATGGTTTGGAGTAAGAATAGAATGCCCAACAATTTCTGAAATAGCCCTACTTCTGTCTTTTTTTAATCATATATTCATGTGTATTCATGTGTTAGAGTATTCTTAACATTGATGATTACAGTATCAAAATGTTTATCAACTCTGAAAAAATATTGAAGATGTCTGGTTCCTGCAGAATCAAATATTCAGTCAAGATTTATTGATGTGCGTAAGATCAAATAAGCATATCCATCTCATTAGTATGTACATGTACTCTGATCGTTAGCAGATGGTAAGGTGATATGTATGCCAAAGGATTGTTTCTTTATGATTATTAGTAAATGTTTGGTTTCTGTGCTTAATTTTTAAGATTTAATTATTTACTTTTGTTGTCATTTCCGGAGTCCCACAGCATTTAGGCAAAATGCTCAGTCATCCCAGGGTGTTAGTCACATTCGCATTGTGGCACATAATCCATGTGTATGCATGGTGTGGCTATGTAAGCTCTCATACGAATGCACTAAGTGACCTTTAAAAGCAGACGTGCCTAACCAAATTCATCTCTCGACACATTTCTTCCATACAGGCCTGTGCACATCCCCCTCTCCCTACTCTTTACTAATGAAACTCTTAAAGTGATTTTGGTGTGTACCTTGGGTTCTGTTGGTCTGTTCTCATGCACAGTAAATAATAGCTTTGGGGGGGAGGCGGGGTTGAGGCAGGGTTTCTCAGTATTGCTTTGGAACCTGTCCTGGAACTAGCTCTGGCCTCGAACTCACAGAGATCTGCCTGTCTCTGCCTCCTGGGCGCTGGGACTAAAGGCATGTGCCACCAACGCCCGGCCAATAATAGTTTTTGATGTTTGTGTGTGTATGGGTTTTTTTTTTTTTTTAATGTACTGTGTGTGTGCAGGTACCCTCAGAGACCACAAGACATCGGATAGCCTGAAAATGTAGTTACAGGTAGTTTTGAGACACCCAGTGTGGGTTCTGGGAACCAAACCTAGGTCCTGCAAGAGCAGTACTTACTTCTAGCTATCTCTCCAGCCCCTGTGTATTTAATCTACCTGTATACATAGATCACATAAAAATTTCTTGGACCAAAGGAGATGACGGGTAGAGTTCAAGGTGACCTGGTGTAATCTACTTGTTGGTACTGAATTTACAGCCCAGCACCTAGCCAATGTCTGTGAAGCCACCCATTCTGCCTGCCCTACAATGGCTGTTGATCACAAGCAAGATAAAGCCAAGGTAGTTAGTGATTGGAAGCTCTAAAACGCTCGCAGTATTTCATTTGTACTCTTCCCTTTCTATTCTTCTAAATTCTTTTAACTTCTCCAATTCTGTGCTAAACTGTTCTTTTGCTGTATAATCAATCCCCCATTTGGTTTGGTTTTGGTGGTGCTAGAGATTAAACCAGGAGTCATGCACATGACAGACAAGCATTCTATCACCCAGCTGTGTTCCCACTGCACAGCCTAGGCTGACCTGATAACCCAGCTGTCTTATTCTGTTCAGACAGGGTTTAACTGTGTAGTCTAGGCCATCCTTAAACTTGAGATCTTCTTGCTTCAGCCTCACAGTTGTTGGGATTATAGGCAAGGACCACGATAGCAGGCTAGATGGATTCTTAGGCTTAATACAACATGGTTAGTTCTCATCTCCATTAACTTGGGTAAGAACCACTGCCATTAACCGTTAACTGTGTTTAATTGTGTGGTGAATGCAAAGTCATCATGAATTCACTGAAGATTATAATGTACTTAGAATAATTCAATTTTTGTTTTGCAGTCCTAGGCTGTCTAATCTTCCTGGCTGGTCTCTAAAAGATGGCAATGCTTTTTTGGACAAGGTAATATCTAAAATAAAAACTGAAGCCTGTACACAGTTGAAAGCTGTCCTGTCCTGCTGGAGCCATGCTGATGACTCAGGGCTCATTGTGTTTTTTCATGTGTGTTTTCTTCCAAACCCTAAGATTCATGTTATTCTTGCTAATTGCTATGTCTAAGTACCTTTAGTGACTCTCTGTGTTTGTCTTCAGGTCACATTTATGTCTGTGACAATCTTAAATACTTTGCAAATTTATCACCAGAGAAAGAAAACTGTCTACAGTTATAATTAGGATCTCAAAGGTGATGCTTATTAGAGTTTGGTCATCTTATTAAATGAGATCCCAGTACTTAAAAAAATTAAGACTGACATAGTCACTTAGTCAGTGGTAAAAGATTAAAACATGCAGATTGTCTTCACGCCGTTCCGTGGTCCTCTAAATCATTCATCCTTGCCTGAGCTTCAAAATTAAAAAGCTGAATGAGTTTAAAGATCTTTCGCATGATTCATCTGAGTAAGACAGTTACCGCTTATAATGGACGCTGCTGACGAAGCGTGGGCTTTCTTCAGAATTAATTCCTGTAGCTGCACCCCGTACTCAAGTGAAACCCAGATGCATAATTTGAAACTAGATTTCCCTCATAGCTGACTATAAAATTATGTGACATTCAGGAACCTTCGTACCTGATTTCAACCTGGGTCTCCTGCCAGCTATAAATCATTATCCCCAGGAAGGCTCAAAAGCATTGCATTACCACTGCATTGTGAGTGAAATGACTATCACATGTATGTGGGAGTGTTTCATTAAAAGGGAGTGGTGAGTGAAAGACAACAGCATTGTACTTGTTTGGAATGCACTGAGTCTGCTGCAGGCCTGGTGGCTGAGAATGCAGTCTATCCTAGGACATGCACCGGTGCATAGCACTGTGAAGGGGGAGACCGGTGCCCCATAGGTCACACAAAGGTTTGAAACTGCCCGTGGTATGGATCATCTTGTTGTTGTTGTTTTATTTGTTTTTCTTTTTTGAAATTTAACTTCTTTATTGATTCTTTGGGAGTTTCACATCAATTCTACTCACTCTGGGTCCCCCCATGTCCTCCCCTCACCCGTCTAGCACCACACACACAAGAAAATCTTTTTAAAAAATCAAAACAAAACAAACAGAAAAACCCTCTTGACTTCTCCTTTCTTACTTCTCCAACTCCTCCATTTTTGCCTCATCTTGAAGGAGCTTGGAATTCCCTCATTAAACATAATTAATTGCCCATTTGTTTTTAGCTAGCAGGTCTATTGTAATTAAGAATTATTCCTATTTTTTTTTTCTTCTTTTTTTGGTTCATCCCATCAATAATGCTCACAGGAGCAGCATTCAAGCATTTAAGACCCCAATAAAGACTTTAAAATTCCTAAGGATAGTAATATAGTTGACACCCTCATTTCAGATAAAGACTCAGAGTAATTCAGATTGTGACAAATTTAGGTATGTGTGTGAATATGTGGAAATATGTGTTGGGTGACATGTGAACACATGGTAGAACTATAGTTAATGCATTTCCCTTCTGAAGAGAGTGGAGGTCACTGTCAGGTCCTTTGTGGTGTGACTGTAAAGTCATAGACCTGTACTTGAGGACCCAGAAACTCCACCTGTTTAAAGTGCCAGTGGCTTTCTGGGGCATCTGCAGCCAACCTGCCCGTGGCCCACCCTGGTGTCTAGCCTTTCCACTCCAGTGTGCTCTGACATCATGTCAGCCACTCTTATCTGTGGGCTTTGTCTGGGGTTTTTTCTGATGCTGCCTGCGGACATGGGAACTGGCAGGGTGAGGGAGGCTCTACACCACCTGCTTCTCAGTGGACTCGGGACTGTTTGGTTTGCCTGTGAGCTGCCCCACGGAAGTAAATGCAGCAGCTCTAGAGGAGTGTGGCTCCATGGCATGACCGTCTCCAGACACCATGCCTTCTGATTACCACCACCACTCCTACTCACACATTACAGGGAAAACCCACCAGAACAACAGTACCCTGTCTGAGCTACCCTCACAGACTTTGGGAGAACCCAAACTCGGTGCGCATATAGATATAGGCAGTAGCATGTGAGGTGGGAAGTTACATGATCCCATTTTGAAGACATAGGTATGTTTGGTTTGTAATCCTAGGTAAGCCCATGTTCTGTGAGGCAGACAGCACAGGCACTGTGGTGGTGACAGCACTTCTATCCCTGCCCCCACTCTTGCCCCCCCCCAGGCCCCTTCCCTTCTCTCGATAGGTGGAGGAAAAGGCTCCTAAGTAATAAGTCTGGGACTGGTCTCCTAACCTGAAAGCAGAATCACCAGAGGTCCTTGTCATAAATACAGGGTCCGTGGCTACCTCTCCAGTTTCTGGTCCCTCGGATATTAGACAGGGCCCAGGGGGCTTTGACTTGGTAGCTAGTTCTTAGAAGATACTGCATTGCGAATTATAGCAGCAGCATGTGTTGTTCTAACTTCTTAAAGAGGCATCAGGGAATGTGTACTCAAACTCTGAGTCTGCCACCAAGCAGTGTTTTTACCCCCAGTCAGGCATCTAGCCAACCTGAGCCCAAATAGGAAACAGTTTGTCTAAAAATAACTCCCACCCTCCAAGTTAGGTGTGGAGGTTGAATTTCCTTGGTTCTGTATCTATTAAGTATCTCTTCTTATTTTTCCTCCCCATCTCTTTTAGGAGCTAAAAGAATGCTCGGGTCATGTATTTGTGGATTCTGTGCCTGAATTCTGCTTACCAGAGGTAAGATGAAAGCAATTTTTATCGGAAGCAAAGCATCCTGGAATCAGCACTGTAAAGTCAAGGCATAGTTAGTGTCATGACCCTGAGCCCTCTTTCAATAGTTACCGCATTTGTCACTTTGGGAGGCAGAGGCAGATGGATCTCTGTGAGTTGGAGGCCTGCCTGGTCTACAGAGAATTGGTGGGGCAGTTCCCATCTGTGTGAAGATTCCATGTCCCAGGTATTGCACTTATTTTCAGCATGCCCCAACTGACTGTTGCAGCCTTGACTCTGTGGCCAAGGATGTGGAGAGTGTGGGTTAGTACTCTGAGGACTTTGTGACTTGTTCCAGAGTATGGGACTTCTAAAAAAGACACTTTTCACAATCCACCTTTGGTTGTGCTTTTCATACATGGAGGGTTTTAAACCCATAGATCATTTTCCAAGCAAGACTATATGACTTAAATGGCAATAATCATTGTTTTAAGGTAGAGTCATATTGCTGTTAAGACTTGGAGAAAACATGAGTGTGGTAGGTACAGGAGAAGCAGCGACTCCAGTCCAGTGAGCCTGACAGACCAATCATGGACCCATGAACCTACTTTAGCTATCTGTTTCCCTCCCATGTACACTGTGTTATGTATGATGCTTATACTATAGTAAGCAACCACTGCATTGTGACTGTGTGACCCTGTTTGCAGTGTATGGAACCAAATACTTGTACACAACACTTTTAAAGTAAAATATGTAAGTAGATATGTATCAGCGCATAAATGTGATTCCAATATTAAATTAATTGGGGGAAATGTTTATGCAATTACGTGTCTTAGATACCTAAATTAAGAATAATCTCTTCTTTTTGACTGTCCTCAGTATATTTTTCTATGATTCTTGGCTCTTGATTGTTATGTTTTAAAGAGAATGGCCATGCCCTTACGTGTGAGGAGAGGCGTCTGCTTTTGAGATGCACTGTTGCTTCGGCTATCACTCTTACGATTTTCTTCTGTTCGTCCCTCTGCTGTCTGTTTTAATTTCCTTTTTTGAGATAGCAAAGAGCAGAACCACCTCCTCCATGAGGATATTGTCTTGCTAGTACAGGACAGAGTGTGGTGTTAAGGCTAACAGATGTGGGATATTGCCATAGGTTTGTTGTTGCCATATGCTGTGTGACAGTACTCCTGGGGAGACGGGAACGAACATCTGCTCGCCCCAGATATGGAAGCAGTAATAAACCAAAGTGGGACTTGGCAAATCAGTGGGTTTTATTGGTATTACTTGAAAGAATATGGGTGACAGAAGTGGCTTCAGTAAAGTTACTTTACTGAAATCCCACCCCAGCCAGTGATAGAAACCTGGAGTGTACTGCACAACTTGCAGGCAGCTGGGCAAGTCCAGGAGTGTCTCTTCCAGAAAGCTCAGTTGGTCTAAGCCTCTGCCGATCTGAGTGTGTATTCAGCCATCCTTCCTGCTTATATATGCTTGAGGAAGGAGGGGCCTGGTGAATCAGGTCAGTTTCGGGGACTTCCTGAAGCCTTTGGGTTCTATACTTCCTGAATTTTAATGAGCTCCTCTGCAGGATGGGATGTCTCACCTCCCTTAAAAACACTCTGCCTCTCATGTTGTCTTAAAGAAAACTGCTACACAGCACCATAGATGCCATTACCCTAGCAATGGGGCACTTGTGTCCTTCACACACACCTGCTGGTGCTGCTGGCAGCTTCATTAAATTATTTCTGTTAACTCACTCAACATGAAAACGTCTACATCCCAGACGGCACACCACTTCCTATTGTTTGCTTACATCATCACTGTCTTTGTTACTTCTCTGAGCAGGACACAACAGCTCCACGAGCCATTCTCCTGCCTCACACACCCAGTGACTCAGCTATGCTCACCCTAGATGTACCACACGTTTGGGGGTTCACTCCTCTGTGACAGAGTTGCCAGCTAGGAGCTTCGATAGCTCGCTTTTCCTACACTCTGTGCTTGAGTCCACCTTGGCCTCCACTAGGTGGGCAGGCAGAGGAGTTGCTGGAAAAGCTCACAGGGTGCGACCATGCAGGGTCTCAAGAGGGATACATAAAAAGCCCCCTTGGAGTTCTAAGACATGACCACCATTCTCTTGTTTCCTCCTTTATGAATACTGTCGTCAAACATTGAAAAGTCAAAAACTTAAACAACAATAATGGAAAAATTTTAGTTGTCTCTCTACTTGACTATCCGCTAAACTTGTAAGATCAGTGTGATAACTGGCGAGCCAGCCACATTCTCACAGCTAGCTATCCTACCCTGCTGTCTGCTGTCAAAATTAGGATACACCCACAGTGAGAGAGGCAGTGCTATGGGAAAGGCCTCATTATTCTGAAGAACCGAAACGACTGCTCTCCGTTCTGACAGCATCATTTGTCAGTTCCATCCCGCTGATCTATGTGCCCTGGCACAGCCACATATCGCCTTTCCTTTCTCTTCAGACCGAGCTAATAGACCTGTCTACAGTCGATGTGATTCTCATCTCTAACTATCACTGCATGATGGCGCTGCCCTACATCACCGAGCACACAGGATTCACAGGCACAGTGTATGCCACAGAACCCACCATGCAGATCGGCAGGTGAGAGGAATGTGGCTGCCTCTCTCCTTCAGTGGCCACTGCTCAGTGCAAAGTCAGATGGGTTTGAATTTCTTTCCCAGGAACAGGGAAGAGTAACGGCTCTAGACACAAGAATGCTCACTGGAGATCCCTAGAGACTGGTGTCCAAGGCAGTCCCAGTCTGTCTTAGCATAGCTGAGAGAAGGGTAGGCAACCTCTCTGTGGAGGATGCTACATAGGACAGAGGCCTAGGAAGATGGCACAAAGATCCCGAGCAAAGAGCCTCAGAGCAAAGGAACTTTGCATGTTAAAGAGAAGAAAAAGAAGAAACTCTATTACTTTGCTTTGAAAATATCCCCCTTTTCATGATTTACTGAGGGCTATAAATAGAGACAGCTGGTAGAAAGCAAGGACAGAAGAGTAATTAAGCAGTTAAGTTGTCCTTCCCTGGTGACACAATGAAATATAGCACTCTATGGGTTTAAGACTAAGCAATCTTGTGCCTAGAGAGATAGATCAGCAGTTAGAAGACTTGCTGCTCTTGCAGAGGGCCCAGGCTCAGTTCCCATCACCCACATCAGTCAGCTCTTAACCACCTGTAACTCCAGTTCCAGGGGATCTTGCTCCTGGCTCCACAGGCAACTTCAGACATGCACCATACACAGGCATGTGTGAGCGTGCACGCTCACATGCGAGAGCGCGCGCATGCGCACGCGCGTGCACACACACACACACACACACACACAAATACATTTAAAAAGTAATGTATTTTAGAGTATTCATTTCATTTTAGTGGTCAAGTGTTTTGCCTGCATGCATCTCAGCACCACTCCTGTGCTTGGTTCCTGTAGAGAGCATCGAATCCCCTAGAACTGGGTTCCAGATAGTTGTGAACCATCATGTGGGTGCTAGGAACCAAACTCAGGTCCTCTACAAAAGCAAGAAGTGCTCTAAACCACAAAAATAAATAAGTCTTAAAAAACAAAACTTACAGCCGGGCTATGGTGTGGGCACACACCTTTAATCCCAGCACTCAGGAGGCTGAGGCAGGTGGATCTCTGTGTTCAAGACCTGCCTGGTCTACAGAGTGAGTTTCAGGACAGCCAGGGCTACAGAGAAACCCTGTCTCAAAAAACAAACAAAAACAAATTATAATCTTCAGTCAACCAAGAAGGTCGTGTTTTCTTCTCACCCAACCAGGCCTTCACAGTGTATATGTCTGCTGCAAGTCACCATAGAATCAGTTACTGGGGAAAAAGAAAAGAAGGAAAAAAAAAAAACAAAAAATTGTAAAGAAAATTACAACAGGGGAACTAAAAACCTATAATGTATTGCTTTGAAATAACCAAAGTTAAAACTTAAAGGAACCAGCTTACAGGATGGACCTGTTTGTTAGGTTGTATTCTAGTGACAAGAAATGTAACAGAATCTTCAGTGTGGAAACATCACTGCACTGTGTACACAAACAGTGAGGGATCCTGGGGACCAGAAGGGGTTGTTAAAGGAAAACAAGACAGCAGTGTAGTGAGAGGAAGAGCTGTAGTCTGAGAAAGATGGTGCTATAGGATGGGCCCCATGAAGCATCCCAGAGCACTAATGTGCCTGGGCCTCAGATCTTCTGGTACCCAGTGCTAGCACTACCCAAGAAGGGGTTAGGAAAAAATATGGATGTGATATCACTTGTTTGGGTTTCTGTCGCCGATAAATTTGTGTGTTGCTGTTTTCTATGCATTGATACAGAGAGGATATTAGCCAGTGTGGATTAACTGTATCAAGAGCATGAATTATATTCAGATGTTGAAATGTATTTCTGGGTGGTTGGGAAAGTAGGTATATGGTTTTAGGGGTAGAGGCATCTCATTCTTTTGCCTAGGCTAGCCTAGAACTCATAGTAGTTCTCCTGCCTCAGCATCCCAGTGTGTGAACTGCCATGCCCAGCTCTATTTCTAGCTTTGTTATTATGTCTAGCTTTCAGGAGTGATTTCTGTATCTGTGCAGCCCTGGGCCCACTTGAGTGTGGCACTCCTTGGATTCCCTTGCCGATGTTCAAGTGTGCCACCCCAGGATGGCAGAGGTCTGTACCACTGCTGATCTTTAGGCAGATTTTGAACTAGCTTTTGAGGTTTCCCTCTAAGTGGAACATTTCTGATCCCCAAAGCAAGTGTCAGTTGCTTGCATTCAGTTTAAAATGTCTGTCCTGTGAAACAGGCTAGTGGGAGGTGGGCAGATCAGCTTCTCCTGGCTACAGTGTTAGCAGCAAATTGTTCTCCAATGTTCTTCATGCTTTGGTTACACTCAGGCTTCTCATGGAAGAGCTGGTGAATTTCATCGAAAGAGTGCCAAAGGCCCAGTCTGCCTCCTTGTGGAAGAATAAGGACATACAACGGTGAGAACAGCCCTCTCCTTGTTGGCTAAAGAGCTTCTTGAGCCTCTTTACGTCTCATTTTATGCTTCACCACAGACCTTGTTAGGGTAAAAGGGTTTTATTTAATTCGCCCAATCAGGCCCCATTCTGGGTGTGGGAGCTTTGGCAGTACATGGCTTTGCCATGGAGGTTCTGGGTCTCATGATTCAGGTCGCTTAGTTCTTGCCAGGACTGTCTTAGGAAAGCATCACCATGGTGCTGTTGTGTTGACACTTAAACGTATAAAGTTAGGGGTTGCAAGATGACTCCATGGGTAAAGGGGCTTGCCACTAATTCTGAAGATAGGACTTTGATCCCCAAAACCCTCATGGTAGAAGGAGAGAACCAAACCGCACAGGCTACACATGTATCTGGTTACATACATGCCCATGCATATACATCGTACACGCATGCATACACGCAATACATAAATTTTTTAGAGTAAGAAAATATTGTTTGCTGCTTAAGCAGGCTGAGGTAGACATTTCTTAGAAGATGTCAGACAACTGGAAGAAAAGACTTTATATAACAAAGTCTGGAGGCTAGGGTGACAGCTCAGTGGATAAAGTATTTCCCCAATATTCCTGAGGATTATAGTTGCGATCCCCATGTAAGAGTGAGCAGGTCATCCTAGCACTTAGGAAGCAGAGATGGGCTTCCTGGAGCAAGCTGGCTAGACTGGTAGAATTGGTAAGCTCTGGGTTCGGCAAGAGGCCCTCCCTCAGTAAATAAAGGGAGGGCCATTAAGGAAGACACATGGCATTAGCTTTGGGTATTAGCACATATGCATACCAGAATGTCTACACACATTTGAACACATACATGTACACACACCAGATGCACACACACACTCATAGCAGTTGTGAAGAGGAGCCCAGGTTTCATGTCATGGGATGGTGGAAATTCAGTGTTGAGTGTGTGTGGAGAGGTGAAGGGGGAGGTGGGCGTAATGAGGTTATTCAGGCTCTTACCTGTGAGGTTGAGACTCCGTCATTGAGGATGTGCAGGTCAGGAGCAGAGGTTTGAAAGGGGAATGACATGACCACATTTGTTTGGAAGAAAGGAACTCTAGAAGCAGCATGAAAGTGAGACGGCAAACAGAGATGGCACAGGGAGACCAGCCAAGGGACCATTTCAGAAACGGCTGACAGGGGTGGTGGTAGTGAGCATGAAGGAGACTGCAGCTTCAGAGAAGCTTCTGAGCTGGGATTTAAAGGAATTGCTAAATATAATGGGAGCTACAAAATGGCAAACAGGAAGGTGAGTGGAAGCCCAGGGATAAAAGATGTTTCCCAAAACACGTGCAGATGCTGACATGTGCCTGTATTCCCAGTACTCTAGAGTCAGAGGCAGGAAGATTGTGATGCCAGCCAGGGCTGCATAAGCAAGTTGTAAGTCAGTCAGGCCTGCATGCTAGAAACCTAGTGCAAGAAAAGACAAAGGAAAACTCACATGTAAACTGGAAATGGGGCCCCTGGGTGTAGAAAATTGGGAGATCTTTGACCATCCTGAGAATTTAGCTAGAGTGACATGCAAGGACCAAGAAACTAGATTGTCAGAGGTAAGGTAAAGGAGAGAAGTACCATGGAGAGAGCAAGTGGATGGCCTGATTCCACACCCAAGCTCTCTGGCCTCCACTAGCAGCAATGCAGAAGACACCAGTGTAGTGGGTATGTGCTCATCGGGCCTGACAACCCAAGGACATGGGCAGGCCGAATACCCACTACAAGTCAGCCTTGGCTTGGACTCTGTCTAAGCTAGCAACTGCTGCCTTCACTCCCTGACCCCACCTTCTGATCTTAGCTTGGAGAGTTCAAACTAGTCTGGACTTGCTGAGAATTCCTGATCCTGCCCCCTTTTCAGTTGCCTTGCCCTGATCAACAATAATGGTAGTCACCTTAGCTTCAGAATGCCTTGGATTTTGCCAGTCTTTTCAGAAGGGTGTGTACATGTAGCTGGGTTACCCTATTTTTGTGTTACAGAGTTTGGGTGCAAGTCTCCTCTGTGTGTTCCTTGTGTGTGCCTGCTTATTTAGCCTGTGGGTCGCTTTGTCTGCCAGACATTGTTCTAAATGTGTTACCAAGAAATGAGCTAACAGTTTGATGAGGTGAAAAGTGGCATTATTACCAGTTTACAGGAGAGAAGTGCCACAGAGAGGGTTAGTAATTCCCCCCCCCCAAGTCATCCAGCTAGTGAGTGGTATGTTCTGATTTCTAGACTACAGAACCCACACCCACTCCTCTGCTGAAACTCTCTGAGGGCGTGTCCCCCTATGTGGATGAAAGGAAGTGAGTGTTCTGCACCCTTTCTCCTGTCTTGTGTAAATCTTCTGAATAGTTCATTGGTTGGTAGGACAGTGTGCGGGTGTCTTCATATCATCTGGATGGGCCAGTAGCCAGGCTGTCTTGTCCCTGTTTAAATGGTCTCCTTGATCTGGCCACTCACACACAGTGACACATGGTTCCTTCCCCTCCTTACGTTTCCTTTAAAGTCTCAGCTCCCTTTTCTCTCAGCCCTTACTGTGCCATGTGAGCACACTGGACCACATGGGACCCCAGGTCCCCATAACCTCCCTCCCTAAAGATCTTGGGGCTGTGCTTTCTTTCCCTGTAGTAGACAGCATATGCCTTGGCCTCCCTTACTTATTTCCTCTTAAGTTTATGTCCTTATGTACTCAGCTGCAAACAGTTTTGGCAGGTCAGAAGTAGTGTTCAGAGGCCAGTATCCCGGACTTCTCGAGCCCTTGGCCAAGTCTTAGGAAGTTCAGAGTCTTAATTTGCCTCCTCTGTGATCTTGAGCATAGTCCTTTTCCCCTCTTGCCAGCCATTCTTGGTAAAATGTAACAGAATAATTCCCTCCTAGAGTAATGTGAATATGCATTAGGGAGACTGAGTGAAGCTTGAAAGGAGAGCGGCTGAGGGCGGGGGCCTGGAGGTCGTTCCACAGATGCTCGACAAAAATGTTAGTTGAAACAGAACTGCCAGTCTCTCAGCTCACCATCTGTGGTAAAAAGTAGAAACGGAAAAGGCCCCTTGGAAGAGGAGTAGAGACATAGTATACTGCTAAAGAAGACTGGTGTGCATTCTGGCCCTGATTGGGTCTTGTATTTTGGCTTTGGAACTCATGATGGACCATAGTTATTGATGGCAAAGGGGAGAGTCTCATTATTGGAAAGAATATGCTGAAGTGATTAGCAAACACCCCAGCTTTATCCTTATTCTATCATGGATAAACTCAGCATAAATATTAGAACTGGCTTTAAAATGGGAGCACTCTTTGAGGCAGGTGATAGCTCATTAAGGAAAGCACCTTAACTACAAACATGAGTTCCCACCTCAGCACCTTCCTTAAAAGCCAGGCGGTGGCTGAGCATCTGTGACCTGGTACCTGGCTGGGGTGGGGTAGATAGGGACAGGCAGACTCCAGGTGCTGGCTAGCCTGTAAGTCTAGCCTAAATAGTAAGCTCCATGTTCAAAAATAAAGTAGAAAATAATAGAGGACATCTGATATCAATCTGTGGCTCTACCCTCCCACTCATGGGTGAGCACATCTGTGTATGTGTCTGTGGGAGGTGCTGTTATAGCCCAGAAAAAAAAAAAAATACCTTTTAAAAAAAGAAGTAGAATTTTTTTAAAGGCTCTTTATTCTTTAATTGGCATCAGACAGCTGATCTGTAGAGTTTCACCTTGGGCTAGATGCTAGAAGTGCTTCATTTGGTGAGCTGAAGGATTAGGTGCTGAAGGATGTCTGCTACCTTTAGGCTCTTCTGATACCTAGTGTTGTAAGGGACTGAGGCATGCTGGACTGAGAACTGGGTTTTTATGGTCTAGTTTATTGAATGTTTCCTTGGGTGACACAATCCATGACTTCTCTAAAACAGAGGCATGAGATATGGCCTGGGCTGGTTGTCACAATCCTGTATCAAACCAGCTGGGGCACACCTAATGTGTCATGGCTGTTTAGGAATGTGAGCTGCCAAATCTATCCTTTTTTCTTTTATTTTTCTTTTTTCTTTATTTTTTAAGAAGCTCAATTCTGGCTCCTTTATGAGTGATTTTTTTTTAATCTTTTTTAAATGTTGGCTTACACATTAAAATAAAATCCTGTGTTAGTCAAGTAAATCACTGGGTGTCAGATTCGAAACTTGAGCCCCCTAATTTTACTTCAAACTACACAGGGATTCTCAAAATAGATCTTGGTCAAGTGCCTGGAATTAATGCATCTAAGTAGCTTGAGTTAGTAATAAGGCCATCAAGTAAAGAAAACAATAAATTAAAATTCTCAAGCTTGTTGATCAAAAAAAAAAACTGACAAATTCCCTTAAATCATTTGGAGTTGGTTTGAATTAATATTTGATTTATTATTAGGATGTATCTTGGAAAATCTTATTATTCTTGCTTTTTGACAGTTGTGTGACTTCTTGCCTCAGTTGACATGTCCCTGAGATTTATGTAGAAGACGTTAGCCATTTTTCTTCCTAATTTTGACACTTTAGTTTACTCTTTCTGAAAAAAAAGAAAAAGGTGGAGTTTTAAAGGGAAGAAAAAGCCACACAATAGAATTTTCTTACATTAACCTTAAAGTTTAGATTTTTAATGAGCAACTTGAAAGCAAAATATTCTACCTAAGAAACTACTCCAGTGGCTGGTATTTTTAGTATAAATGTTTTATAAGATTAGAATCATAATTAAGAATAAATCATTATAAGGCATTGTTAGGTGTGATTCAAGCACCTGGGAGGTGGGGACCAGAGGCAGGAGAAAAGTTCAAGGATAATCTGAGATACTAGTGAGATTCTGCATTTTAAAAAAAATGATAAAAATCATAAGCTATTGTCATAATCTCTCATAAGCATTAAGGAATTAAGATCATAAGAGGAAGGTTTACCATGCAAGAGGCTGTAAAATGTATATTATAGGTGTTATTCTTTTGCTCTGACATTCCTTGGCTATTTGCTGAGGAATTTATCAGTCCTAACTATA